TATTATTGTCTGCATTTTGCTGTGGTGTTTTCCTCTAAAGAACTGAAGTGGGGTGGTGTTGAAGCTTTCAGCGATTCATTTTATATTAAATGTTTAAAAGAAAAAAAAAAAGGACTAGAGACATGATAGTTATGTTGTAATAATATGAAATAATTCGCTGTTTTGAGCCACAGCTGTAGTCTTATTTAACTACTGAGGCCAGAGCAATTCTTTAAGAGCTGTGGTGCATGGCTCCTTTCTGCTGGAGACTGAAGAAAAAAAGAAATCATCCTTAAGTTATTTCGTTGGAAGGCAACCAGTTTGAACACTTGTAGAATTAAAATCTCTTGTAGGAATAAATTATTTTCATGTTACGCAGTTTGCCCTCATTTTAAAGGTCAAGTGTTTGTCACTTCAAACCAGAACTGAAATATGTGAACTTTGTAAGTGTAGGGATTGGTGCGTAGAAACACCACAAATTGAAGTGTTTTCTGGGCTTTAATAAGGGAGACAGGTCCAATATCCAATGTCTCTTGGTGTTTATTCAGTAGAGGTTTGTAGATTTATATTCTCCTTCTTTTAAAGGGTAGTTAAATAAATGAATGAACAGATGGTCACACAAATTAAAACGTGAAAATTGAGAGACCTCTATTTAGTGCCACTTCTGCATTTGGCTGCTCATAATAGAAAGGTGACAGCAAGCAAACCCCCTTCCTTCTGAGAGTACTCACTTTGTCGTGGCAATTCAGTGTTCAGGCCCTTTCTTCATTCTCCATGTGAGGGGATAGAACCTGTTCTTTAATTCCTGAGGAAGTAGCTGGCAGATGCGTCTTAAAATAAGGGCTGGGTGTGTGTGTGAATATGATGGGTGGAAACGTTTCTTTATTTCTAACTTTGTCCTGGACAGAAGACTCAGTGATGTTCTGAAGAGGAAAAGACTGCCAAAACGAGGGCCAAGGAGACCAAAATACTCTCCTCCGAGAGATGATGAGAAAGTAGACAATCAAGGTAAATAACTCTTAAAATGTGATACTTTATCTCCTTCTAAAGTAAGTTTATAAGCTGCCAAAAGTGCTAACTGTAAACAAACCTTTTGATTCTCTTAATTTTGTCTTAAATTCCTCCAGCTAAAAGCCCTACAACTACTCAATCTCCTAAATCTTCTTTCTTGGCAAGTTTAAATCCTAAAACATGGGGAAGATTAAGCACACAGTCCAACAGTAATAACATTGAACCAGCACGAACAGCAGGAGTAAGTGGTCTTGCAAGGGCTGCTTCCAAGGATACCATTTCCAATAACAGGTACACACACAAAAAAAGTCAAAATACAGTGTAATATGATGTGACTTTGAGCTGCTTATGATAAACTATCGAGAAATTAAGGTAGAGAAAAGAAGCTCTTAGTAGTTTAAAGTAGCATGGTGGGGGAATACTGTAGAACTGAGAAAAATGATGCAAGGTGGGATCTGTAAAGAAAAGAACTTTATTGGAGTAAGAACAAAGAATTTTTTTTTTTTTTTGGTGACTGCTGTTTAACGTGGAGAAAATCATACTCTGGCTGTATTTATTGCAATACTGGTGAATGCAAGTGCTGAGTGTGGCCAAATAAATGCCTTTCGTGTTCTTCTTTGCAGAGAAAAAATCAAGGGCTGGATTAAGGAGCAAGCCCATAAATTTGTAGAACATTATTTTAGCTCTGAAAACATGGATGGGAGCAATCCTGCACTAAATGTATTACAGAGACTTTGCACTGCAACTGAACAACTCAACCTCCAGGTTAGAAGTGACGAACTTCATTGGAGTGGGGAGACATCTCTCGACTTGACTTCTGACTCATTATGACTTGGAGTCATTTTTTGGAATGATTCTATGAGCTCTGACACACATCACTTATGATAAAAGAGCAGTATTAACGAGGATATTTTGATTCCCAGCAATGTGCCACTTACATAGCAGTTTATTTCGAATTTAGAAGTTTTACACAGTGAAGCGTTAGGGTTGACTTTAGACCTAAAGAACAACCCAGTTTGTAGGAAGAACTTTGGGGGTGGAGGGAGAGAGGAAACACAGGTTGGGGCAAACCTGTGAGCATCTCAAGAAGTTGAGCCTGGCTTTTCAGACAGCTGGGATTGATGGGTGGCCTGTCAATCCTAAAGTAGCTCAAGAGCTGAGCCATGTTCTGTGCTTTGATCTAAGCAATCATTTAAATATTAAACTCTCCTTCCTCTTCTCTCCCACATGGAAGTCATGTAAAATACACACCAGTCTGAGTTGTTTAGGGTTTTTTGGTACATTGTGGGGTTTGTGTGTGTGGGGGGGGTTTTTTGTGTGTTTTGTTTCTTTTTTGGGGAGGGAGGTGGTGGTGTTGGTTCCTTTGTTTTTTAAAACAAAACCCACCTGTTTGGAGCTCATCTTTACCTCACATGAGACATTAATGGGACCTTGCATTTCTCTGAAAATACAGAATAAGCAGATATTGCCTGTAATGTCTCCCCTTAAACACAGAAGTGCTCATGCTCAGATGATTTGCTCTGTTCCTGCTTGTATGAAGTTACTCCACACTCCAGACTTCCCCCTTTTCCCTCTCCCTTTAGAGCTCTTCCATGCAGTAGAAGGAAAAGCAGGATTTCTTCATCCCCTTAGTACCTGGGTGGGTGGTAAAACAGTCCCTTGCTGTGTTTCAGGTGGATGGTGGAACAGAGTGCCTTGTAGAAATCCGTAGCATTGTCTCGGAGTCCGACGTCTCCTCATTCGAAATCCAGCATAGTGGGTTTGTTAAACAGCTGCTGCTTTACTTGACATCTAAAAGTGAAAAAGATGCTGTAAGCAGGGATATCAGATTGAAAAGATTCCTTCATGTATTTTTTTCCTCTCCAGTAAGTTTTCTTGGTTTTTGGTTTGGAATTCTTAGTTGTCTCTCTCTGGAATTTTCTTTCTGGAAATGCCATCTGAGGAGGTTCAGTGTTGACCTTATTTTAAAGATGGACTACAGAAGGAATGTTTGGTTGTGTCTAAACTGTATAGCACTGCAACTTTCACATGGTTCTAAGTGTGTATGGGTCATGAACCTTTTTGAATACCCTGTAATTACACAAAATTCCACACAGCAGTGGAAAAAGTGCCAAAATGGCCGATTATCTGAGTCTGGAACAACTTACAAGTTGTTTCTGTCTCTTAAGAAGTTGATATGGAAAGAGTTTGGGTTCTCCTTAGTCCTAAATACTGCAAGAAACTAATGTCCTGTTTTTAAAGGAATAAATTTAAAGTGGAAGAGAGGAAGGTAGATAACTGCAACTTCAACAAAGCTTATTGCTAATGGCTAAGGGTGAATCCTTAAAATTTGTAGGGCTATTCAATTGAAACCAGGAGAGAAAAGTATGTCCTTTGAAATAGGTCTGTCATAATCTCGTGATGTGTCATCTGCATACTGCTGCTGCTTTCAGTGAGAACAGTGATTCTGAATTTCCCTTTTTTAAAATAATCTGTGGTATAAATTATTTAAGATGGATTAATTCAGGCGCGTAATTGAAAGACTGGACTGTATTTCAGCTTCCTGGAGAAGAGCCTCTTGGAAGATTAGAGCCATTAGAAAATGCACCTTTGTTGGCATTAGTCCATAAAATGAACAACTGCCTCAGTCAGATGGAACAGTTCCCTGTTAAAGTGCATGACTTCCCTAGTGGAAACGGAACAGGGAGCAGGTAAGGATTAATGCTCAGGTAACAGTTTTGTTAGAAGCTTTTTGTTTTCCAAAACTTGTTTGAAACAACACTAAATAAATAACGCTCCAGGAGGTAATGGAAGTAATAGCAACTTCTGACCCTGTTAAAAGACAGAAGTGATTACACAGTTGGCTTTCCTAGTCAGTGGAAGATTGAATATTTAACCAAAGGTTTGCTTACCATCTTGAGATGTCTCTCACGTGGATGTGTAACTTTAAGTGCAATCTCTAAATTTTAAGCTTGAAAAATTCAGGAGTCTTCCTTGTCCCCGTGTAACCAACAGTGCAAAGAAACCATCTCTTTATTGCTGGGGCACTGTTTTTAGTCAGGTCATTCAACTGCAGAGAGTTTGTATTGCAGCGCTGAACTTTGTAGGTTGTGTTCTCTAGAATGATAATGGATTGAGTGATAACTCTTGGCTGTCAACATAGTTAAAATAGCTGTGGACCTGCCTTGAGTTAAGATAAAGAATAAATTTGGAATCCAGCTTGTTAGTTGTGCTTTAATTAACCAATTTAAAGACCTATTTCTACAGTTTTTTATCTCTGCTTTTCTTTGATATATCAACACTAGCTTTCATTCACTGTATCACAGTTAGGAACTCTTATTTTAGTGTAAGTTGCAAAGAAGGTTTGCAAGTATTTTTCTGGTGCTGGCTGAAAGCTCAGTTCGATTATAGACATATTCTTATGACTGTAGAAATTAGGAGAGGAGGAGCACTGAACATGAATTTTTGAAAGCTCTTCTTTATTAGGAATGCCAGAAGTCTTCTGTGTCTCAGGTATTAAAATTAAAATTTAGGTCCTTATTAAAAAAAAAAATACAAATGAATACTTGCATCTTGGAAGGAAGGGCCAACTTCTGATCCTTATTGCACTGCAGGTAAACACAGCTCTAAATCTCCTGTGGCATCAGCTGACAGTCTGAACAAATTCAGATGTCAGAGATGGTCAGTGTAGGCCATGATGTAGTCAGACCTCAGGCTGGCTCAGGGCTTTCTCTTAATCCACGTAGCTTCCATATTTTGTCCAGCTTGAATTCTGGTGTTCTTGTAGAAGAAAACTTTAAAAATCTATTTATCCAAACTGTACTAGGTTATTTTTAGAGAAATAGTCTGACAAATAATACACTGAACCAGTGAAATTGTAAATGCATGTATAAAACTATTTTAATGCAATTATAGTTAATAGATTCTTTGTGTAGCAACTTTTTTCACAAATTATTTTGAGTTTTTCTCTTAACAGAGGATCCCAAGCTTTAAAATTCTTCAATACACATCAATTAAAATGCCAACTGCAAAGACATCCAGACTGTGCTAATGTGAAACAGTGGAAAGGTGGACCTGTGAAGATTGATCCTCTGGCTTTGGTACAAGCCATTGAAAGATACCTTGTAGTTAGAGGTATTTATATATTATACAGTAATTTGTGTTTTGCTTCTTGAAATAGTTGCTACTGTCAGTGCAGAGTTCATGAAAACCTGTGAGGGATTACACTGAAGACAAATGGGAGGCACCTATAAATAAATATATCTCGCTTGCAGGGAGGAGACTTGAGATTGTAGAAAATCTTCCCTTTTCTGGGACAAATTGTTTCATGTTGTAAACAGTTCAGTCAAAATGCTAACAGAAGTATAATCCACTTTACTGTCAGACTGGCTGTAGCTTGGCAGTTTGGATGCCAGATGTTGATGCTGAAATTTGTTCTAGCACTTGTGAATCTGACTGTTTTTAACTGA